AATAAGACAAAAAAAAGAAGCATTTAATATTTTGTATTTTGATAAGAACCACCCATGACAATAGAACATTCAGACAAATTTATGCACGCGGTGATTGCAAAAACCGGCCCGGAAATGACAAGTTTCTCGCTACAATATGTGTTTATAAACGTCTTCACGTCGATGATTTGTCAATTTTTTTCACACGAAGTTGAAAAAAATTACTGGTTTTCAAAAAATTAATAAACGTACTGTGCAAAATAAGAACGTACTGGGTGGATGTTTGGGCCCTGCCCCAAAAAAAGAAACGTACCCGTATGTTTATTTGGCAGATGAGAGTAATTGGTTCCATCCTTTCCAAGAAGTTTGTCATGGTCATGTCCTCCTCCTTAAAGTTTTCTGGGAATAGGGTTCAAGGCAAGGAAGAGCTTGTGTTAAATAACTTAGGATTGCATCATGTATATAGTGACAATGATATAGTTACAATGATATAGAATGATAGTTAGGTATTATAAGTATTGTCATGTGATACAATTAGTTAGGATGTGAACAAAGTCATAGAAACACTTAGATCAGTCCACCAAGTCCCTCACCAGTCACCACCCATACCTACACCAGCAGTAAGGCCACACTGACTTAATTTTATGGATGACATCCTTTCAAAAATTGAAGACCCCCTAACTAGTGCGTGCGGGCGAATAAAAGAACATTATAGGCAGAAAAGAAAGTTTTATAAACTACAGGAATACAAAGCTGGGATTGCGAATTTGCAGCAGTACTTAGCGACGTATACGACTAGCCGGCACATGCTGGCCTTTTGCAGCATTTATGAGTCGGTACTGTACTGAGTTCTTGAGTTCCGTGGAGCTTCGGCAGTCTGGGTGCCATCCTCCGTAGTTACCGTCAGCTCCCTATTGTCACTAGCTACCATGGACTACGGAGGATGGCACCCAGGCCAGAGCCTCGGAGGTGATTTTTTTTAGAACAGGCAAAAATCAATGCATGCGTGGATATCGTCCATAAAATTAAATTAGTATGGCCTAACCAGACACTTCTGTTCCGCAGACAGTCTGAACTTGACCTGGTATAAACAGCTGTGTCTGTTGGGATCAACCATAACTCTGACGGGGGCAACATGATATAAAGATTTCTTTTCAAAGTTGCAAAAGAGTCAAAAGTGCAGAATTTAATCAGACACAGACAGAGAATTCCCTTGCTCTAGGTCAGTAGGACAATAGTAATAATCTTTCTTTTGTTCCTAATGTCTTGATGACAGTGAGTGATTGTTTAGCGTGACCTTAACTACAACAAAGTAATGATTCATCCCCAACTGACCCACTTATACAAGGTTGACTTAACTTAGGCCATGTTGATTTGATTATATGGATGACATCCTCCGGGAGCCCCAAAACTGATGCGCGCGTGCGAATAAAAAAAAAGTTTTGCAAAAAAAAAGTTTTATTTTATTATGAAATCTACGTGGTCATGAGGGTTGAGCAAATGGCACAGAATATGGTTTGGCGAATAATCTAGTCTTCAAGTTCATTTGTTTACAATTTCGTCTTTTTTCGTTTGATTTTGGCATTCTACGACATTGGTGTTACGTGGCTACATTGGTATAGTTTTTATTAATTTTTTTTGTAACTTATGGTATATTTTTGCTCATTTTGCAACTGTTTTGTACGATTTACAGTATGGTTGAAAACTTTTTTTTTTGGAAACGGCCGAAAATTTATGCCCGCGCGGATGTCATCCATATAATCAAATTAACATGGCCTAACTACAACAAAGTAATGATTCATCCCCAACTGACCCACTTCTACAAGGTTGACTTAACTTACTTAAAAAAAGATTTTTCAAGACCATTCATATTAGGTAGTTCTTTCCTACAAGTTACATGTAAGCACAATTATCCAAACTATGGCAGTCATTCCTGTACTGTCAAGAGAAAGGTCAAGCTCTCTTGTTTGTGAGAGACAATAGTGCTGATTGACAGTTGGAGGAAGTTAGGCCTACATGTAGTCAGGCTGTTGGACACAGATAAGACAGTAGTGGTTTGATCTACTCTGCATGTTTGCACCCCACCCCTTGTAACCCAGTGTTCTAGCCAGGCCTTTTGAGCATAGGGGCCCCCTATGCTGTGATTTGGACCCCCTATGCTGTGATTTGGACCCCTATGCTGTATTTCAACCAGCATAGGGGTGTTTTGGTGGGAAAACCTTCATAAATCTTGCAAAAACTGAAAATATACAGTGTTCGAAATACCTGTCTGCAGTCTGCAATCTGCAGATAGATTTTCAAGATTGCAGAAGAAAAATTTATACAATCTGCAATTTTGCAGCAGGAAAAATTGGCACTTGTGATTTGACGCTTTTGGCCCCAAGGACAGACAACACTTAGGCTCCTGTTTTGAAACAACAGGAGCTTCAGAATCTTCACTAATTGGCATCAACCTTGTCTTCACTTGTTTATCTTTTGTTTCCTTTTGGACTTCATGTAGTTCATGCTTATAAACCTGCAAGATGTAGTATGGAGGCTTGTGTATTTGCAGAAAGTATTTCCAAATTGCAGAACAAAATTTTTACTCTTCTGCAATATTGCAGAGCACTGAAAAAAAGTATTTCGACCACTGATATAGCTTAAGAATGATGCTATAGCAAAGGGAAAACCTTAACTTCACAAAATCTGTCCTTCATTAAGCGAGAAATAATGCCTCAGGGGTCATGAGTTTCAAAATTTTTCTAGTAAATGCGCGACTTGTGCCGCGAAAGTTGCCAAGTCTGTACCTAACCCCTATGCTGTGAAAAAATCCTGATGAGAACTCTTAAATTTTAAACTTCTAAGTTGAAACTACTACATTGTACTACCTTTTAGTAATAACCTACTACCTTTGGCTTTAATCATAACTAAGTAAGTTACATATACATGTAGAATACAACACGGGGTATTCCGTATCGCCCGAGGTATCGGCCCGACTGTGGGTCGGATCGCCCGCAGGCCGGAGGGCGATCCAACTCGTGGGTGGGCCGGGACCAAGGGCGATGCGGAATACACTGTGTTGTATATTAGTTATGTCATACCCACCCAAGAAAACACGCCTTTCAATGCAAGATGAGCCAAAAGTTGGTGCCACTGAACCCTAAACTGCAACAACATCAATTCCAACGTCCGGATTCTGTATTCGAATTTTCGAAAGGGGCACAAGCGGTTAGGGCGAAACGCGTTCGAATCATTTTATGGAAGCCATGGAAGCGTTCGATAACGGGTTCCGGAACCCATTATCGAACATTATCGCGGCCCGGGTATGATATAATGTATTGTATTGTATTGTATTGTAACAGGTTTTATAGAATTATTATGTTCACTTCTGCTTTGTGATAATCTACAAGAAGTCCAAAAGTGTTAGGCTACAAACAGCCTTATAATATAGATATATTATAAATGTAGGTATTAACTCTACCACTTGCAAACATTTTGGTTGGAGGGATGTCACCACACCCTCCTTAAACTGTGAAGGCTGTGCCCT